CCGTGTCCTTTCCCTCTATCCCAAGGCCTCCGAAACAACCTGGGCTCTGGTGTCTGTTCTTGAGCATGCACTAGTTCTGTGAAGTCACATCTCTTCATTTGTAAAGTGACAAAACAAAATCAGTTATGTAGGGGTTATGAAGGCAAAATGAGGTGTTAAAGCATCCATCACTGTGCAAGTTATAAAAACTCTGTATGAGAGCCTGGGTTTGTTTTCCTTTTCTTTGCCTCATCACTGATGAACTCTACCACATGTGGAGAATGTATTCACTGCGGCCCTGGTAAAATATGCCATTGTCCTGGGAATTTCAAACACACTGATACCAGATGTTGCAGATGAACCGGAAGTCTCATCAACACCGGATCTCGTTCCTGACCCACAAGAAGACTAAGGTATGTGAAAATCATTTGTAAAATGTAAAATGCTATAACAATGCTAGTTTTTTGTCGTTATTAATCGAACTTAAAATCATCTATTTTAATATATATATGTATTTTGTCATCTTTAGTACAACTTTTCACCAGAGGATTAAGACAAACAGCTTTGGTGATAAACATACCTTTGTGTAAGGGTAACCCTTGGCAACAAGAGGGGTAATTGCTGGAAACAGCTGCCTTCTGGTAAGAAAGGGAGATAAAAAATGAGGGAGGAACAGTTCCAGATAGGTCTGAGAGAGGCCATGAGCTTAACCCTTACAGCTCCAGAGAGGGAATCTCAGGCAGTGAGTGAGATGTTGTCTGTCATGAAGAGTGCCATTTTGTTTGGACAAGGCAAACTCTGAAGCATATCTGGGGAGAGATTTCCCTGGGAATCAGACTTTTCTTTAAGTCTTGTCAGCATCATTCAAATTTTTAAATTTTGACTTGTTGATTTATTTCTCTCAGATAGCATGAATAAAATACATTCTTTTTTTTTTTTTTAGAGAGTTCCTTCTGGTCATAAATCTCTTGGTCAATTGCCAAAATTTCTGTGAGAAATTCCCTGAGAAATCGGCTATATCTTTTTAAAAAATTTTTTAAATTTTCAAGATGTGGGGTACAATTCAGGGTTAGGTATACAAATGTTCATTTTGCAGGTACCCTTGCTGATGAGGTGTGCCTCTCTCTCCCCTGGCAGTATTCCACTACTGCCAATACCACCCCCCCCCCACCGGGCAGTTCCCCACTATGCCAATCCCTTTCTTAGAGTATTATGATAATGGTTCAAGGTCCACTTATGAGTGAGAACATGTGGTACTCAGTTCTTTGTTTCTGTGATAGATCACTCAGTATTATAGCCTCTAAGTCCATCCAAGTTGCTGCAAAGTTCATAATTTTGTCCTTCTTTATGGCTGTGTAATATTCCATTGTGTATATGTACCACATTTTTTTATCCAGTCCTCTTTCTATGGGCAGCACAGTTGGTTCCATGTTTTTGCCATTGCAAATAAATCAGCATCATTTTTAAGGCATTAGCATGGAATCTGTGAACCAGCCACACTTTTTTTTTTTGAGACAGGGTCTCACTCTGTCATCCAGGATGGCATGGTCATGACTCACTATAGCTTTGACCTCTCAGGCTCAGGTGATCTTCCCATCCCAGCTTCCTGAGTAGCTGGGAGTACAGGCCACTACACTTGGCTAATTTTTTGTTTTTTTGTGGAGACAAGGTTGAAATGTGCCCAGGCTGAAATCTACACTTTAGAAAGTCAAGACTTGTGTGACATTGGGCAGACTGCAATGTCACTCAGTGCCCAGGGGTATGTCATCGACTGGCTCAGTTGTGCAGGCAGAGTCAGCTGTGGGTGGACTGAGGCATGGACCCAAATTTCACCAGAGAAGCAGTCATGGGAGGCTCTCTTTGGGGATTTCCCAGGGTCAGGAGGAGATTTTCTCAAAAGGGAAATTCTTCAGTCGGGATGCAATAAAGGAGTGACCTTCATGAGGAAGAAGGGGAGGTGGACCAGGTGCTAATGATATAAGGGTGGCAAATATGTGGGGGTGTAATTGTGTTGTAGAACATGTGGGAAGATGTGGAAAGGTATAAAAATGAAAATTCAAGTCACATGTAATTGAACACCAAGTTCTGCCTGAGTGCTGATTTGAACTGGAAATGAACATGGAAACATGAAAACGATTGACTTGTTAAAGAGACAGGAAAGGTCATGTTTTTCCTTCTTTTTTCTTTCTTTTGATTTCTGGCTTGCAATGGTTTCTTTTTTTTTTAAATTTCAATAGCTTTAGGGGGGTACACATGATTTTTGGTTACATGGATGTATGGTATGGCGGCGAAGTCTGGACTTTAAGTATACCCTCCACTCCCACCTGGGCACATTGTACCTGATTGGTAATTTTTCATCCCTTCACCCTTTTTCCCCTCCCCCTTCTGAGTCGTCAATATACATTATGCTATTCTTTCTTCCTCTGCAGCCCCTAAGTTTAGCTCCCACTTATAAGTGAGAAATACGGTGTTTGGTTTTCTGTTCCTGCATTACTTAGGAGGACGGTCTCCAATTCCATCTAATTGCTGCAAAAGACATAATTTCATTCCTTTTCATAGCTGAATAGTATTCCATGGTGTGTATGTGTGTGCATGTGGATATCACATTTTCATTATCCTGCAGTGGTTTCTTTTAGTCCTTTTAATGGAAATGCATAGGTGGGAGAGAGCTATAAAATATTGGTAAATTTTAGAAATTTAGAATGTCATTTTGTATACTGTTTTATTGTCTGTTATCTGCACTTAAAGCATATTGTAAGCTTATCTTTTGTGCGTAAATATTTTTCTAAAACATGACTTAAATGGCTCCTTTGTATTCCATCATCTGAATAAATCATAACTGATTTAAAAATTCCCTAATACTATAAGAAAAGGATTGGCAGCATTGGAAAACTGCTGTCAGCGGGACAGGATTGACAGTAGTGGGAATCTGCTGGGGGTGGCATACCTCATCAACAAGGGTACTGGCATAATGAACATTTGTATACCTAACCCTAAATTGTACCCCACCTCTTTAAAATAAAAAATTAAAAAAAAAATTTCCTATTGTATATATTTAGTTTCCTCCATTCTTTACTACAGTATTATACATAAAACTGGGTCAGGTGTGGTGGCTCACACTTGTAATCCATTACTATGGGAGGCCAAGGTAGGAGGATTTCTTGATCCCAGGAGTTCGAGACCAGCCTCAACAACATAATGAGACATCGTCTTTTCAAAAAATAAAAAAATTAGCTGAGCGTGTTGGCTTATGCCTGTAATCCCAGCTACTTGGGAGGCTGAGGCAGAAGGATTGCCTGAGCCTAGGAGGTCAAGGTTGTGGTAAGTCATGATTGTGCCATTGCACTCCAGTCTGGGCAGCAGAGTGAGATCCCAACTCATTAAAACAAACAAACAAACAAACAAGCAAACAAACAAACACCTGTGCTCAATAGCCTTATACTTCCTATTTGTGTGGGTCCCTATTGCTTCATGAAGATAAATACTTTGAAGTAAAATCACACGATCAAAGGGTGTACAGGTTTTTTTAAGCTCCAGACACACAGTGCTGGATTGTGTTCTGAAAATACCCTGCAAATTTATACTCTGAGGGCAAATGCTCAAGAAGGGGCAGAGAGAGAGACTGGGAAGTGGGAATCCGTGGTGCGTTGACCTGGAGAAAGAACTTGGGGGACATCTCTGAGAAGAGCCTTGCAAGAAAGGGAGGAGATGGGATTCTCAGAAAAGAACCCAGGATACGAACCTGAATCAGTGGCAAAGACAACATGAGCTGAGGACAACACAGCACCTTAAAGTGCAGGTTAAGAAAATGATGAGTATAAAAAACGTCATTAAACCCTTATAAGCTTTACAAAAATTTTCTAGGGGAGTTTATAAGGGGGACCCCCCCAAAATGAATTTATTTATAAATAATTGTGTATTCTTACATGTTTAGACTTCAGTCACCTCCAAAGTCCTTTCTGTCTGATGCAATACACCCATTGAAATGCTTTCTCCACTGCTCAAAACAGTTTTTGAACTTGTCAATTTTGATACCTTTTAGTGCTTGCGCCGTTTTTTGATTCACCTCTTCCACATTGGCAAAACGTTTTCCTTTGAGGACTTTTTTAAATCCAGGGAAACAAAAAAATGTGAGATCGGGTGAATAGGAAGATTGGGGGACAGGGCTCATGCTGTTTTTGGTCAAAAACTACCAAACACTCAGCACAATGTGGGCAGGTGCATTGTCATGGTGGAAGAACCAGTGCTCTTTGACACAACTTGGGACATTTCTTCTGCAAATCATGACACAACTTTCTCAAAACTTCCAAAAAAACTGATGGGTTCCCAGAACATTTACCTAGTGGGGGAAGCCTGTACTACAAAAGACCCACCCTCCAAAAAAGATAATTTTGCTTTTTGGGGGTTTGCCCCTCATATTATCATCCCAGTCACTGATGAGGAAAACTTGAGTCACAGAAATTAAGTGACTTTACCACCACCACGCTAATAAAAATGGCAGAGCACATTAAGAATTATGCCTTCTATTCTAAATCACTGGTTTTCCACTCAACTTTTTCTATTCCTTTAAGGAGAGAAAGAGCTTGGTCTGCTGTCACCTCTCTCATCCTTTGTGATAAAGCAGGATGCTCTTCCTCACCATTGGGTAAGAGAAGCTTCCAGAAGTTTGACTGAAGTGAGAATGAATGAGGCTAACATGCTAAACAAGACAGGAGCCATTTCTATAAAGTGAAATGACTCTTTTAAATCCTAAACTCAATATTATGTCATTATATATTATTGTGAAGCATAAAAGATATATTTTTTTATGAGTCTCTTTTCAAAAAGATTGACTCAGCAACTAGTTCAGATCCATAAATTACAAGGGAGTATGCGGCTCTGTGATTGATAGAGACATGACAATTATATAGCAAGTAGTGGCAAGCTGGGTCTGCTGGGACAAGCTGTACACACACTTACTGCTGCTCCATCAGGATGCCTCATTAAATCTTGTATCATTTCCCCCAACCTCACTTGTTAAAATGGCCATTCAAAAGAAATGCCTGATTCTGGGATTTCTTGCACTTTTATTGACTAAATTGGGCACTGAAGCCAATGAAGAGAAAAAAGAACACCTGCCGGTTGCTGGGCAAGTTTGATTTTAATGGGTATGTAGATGCCAAAAACCACTCACTTGTTATTGGAGGACTGTTTCCTATTCACTCCAGGACCATCCCAGCAAACGAGTCTATTTTGGAGCCAGTGTCAGCAAAATGTGAAGGGTAAGCCTTCTTTTCACATCGGTTGTAGGTGGTGGGTATGGGGATCAGAGTCTGAAACCGAGCCGGGTTGGTAGCCCTGACTCTGACCTATCTATTTGACTCAGGATAGGTACTTCCTGTTAGTCGGCCTCAATTTCTCCAAGGTGGATCGTCTAGTAATGCTTAGAAACTGGAAAAGCTTGGTCTTCAGTGGGTCCTTTTCTACTGTAGCTCAGACAGAAAAAAGATGGGTTTTACATGATGCACAGTGTTTCTCTGCAGAGGCTGGCTGGTCTGTGGGCTGGCAGTATCAGCATCACCTGAGAGCTTGTTGGAAATGGAGGCTCCTGGGCTGTAGTCCCACACCAGCAGAATCAGAACCTGCACTTTGAGAAGGCCACCTGGTGATTTATGTACACATCAAGGTTTGAGAAGCACTGATGCAGAATGATGCAGTGTTGCAGGTTTATTGTTATAGGTCAAACCCTCCTCAAGTGAAAATACACAGTGTGGAAACACTGATTTATTTCAGAGCACAATTTCTTCAGCTGTTGGGAGGCTTCTACCTCTTACTCCCCTAACCCCAACTTTTTGTGTAAAGAAATGGGATCCATGATTGCTCATCTGAATTTGCTAGTAATTCATTATAAGAAAGGCAAACACAGATTCGATCACACACCCCCTAAACTTCACATATGAAAAGAATGCCTGAAATTAAAAGCAAAGCTATTATTCACTATTCTACCTAGTATAAGAAAATAGCTCGTTTTATTTCCTATATGCTTTCTCAGTCCTTTAAACAAATACATTCATTATTTTTGCATAGTTGTGACCACACTACAGACACTATTTTATATTGAGCGTTTTACATTATATGGTAAGTATTTCCATGGTGTTTCTTGGTAATTATAATAGTAAATACATGTTGTAAAAATTTTAGCAACTTCTTACAGCATTAAATCTTTACTAGGTTGGCGTGGTGGCTCACTCCTGTAACCCCAGCATTTTGCGAGGCAGAGGCAGGAGGATTGTTTGAGCCCAGTAGTTGGAGACCAATTTGGGCAACATAGCGAGATCCTGTCTCTACAAAAATCAGAAAATTAGCCAGGCGTGGTGGCGCACGCCTGTAGTCGCAGCTACTCAGCTGACTGAGGGGCATGGATCACCTGAGCCCAGGTGGTCGAGGCTGTGATGAGCTATGATCATGCCACTGCACTCCATCCTGAGTGGCAGACTGTGACCCCCATAAAAAACAAATAAACAAAAAAAACTACTGATCACAACTCCTGTCCTTTGATTATATTTCATGCTCCATATTTAAGATATCATTAGAGGAATGGACTAGTTGTAATGGTGGCAAGAGGAAAAGATTGGAATCAGTTCATACTTATCTCTTTCCTAGACCTTCTAAATGTCTTTTTTCTTATAGTGAGGCAAAGGAAGGAAGGAGGAGAAAGTGTTTGCTTAAAGCTGCATTGTCTTAGAGTCATGGAAGTTTTTATGTCTTCAATCCCTGATGACATAAAATTAACCCTTACAGTTTGACATAATATCATGCACTCATAGTTCATAAATAAAAATCACTTAATTTATTCTCCAGTATTCATTGGAATTTCTGAAGGTTGTTTTCCTAGCAAGGTTAAAAGGAAAAGAAAGGAAATGGAAGAATACTAGTTTGTCCCACAAAGTGTTGGTATATATATTGAGAAATAGTGAAAAAAGTACATTCCATTTTGAAAATAATTCACTTAGGGATATCTTGGGATTGGCATAATCAATGCAGCCTGAATTTGGGTGGCTAGTACTTTATTTTACTTCATGAATTTGGCATATATGTACATGAAAGGAATGACAATGTGTTTTTTAAAAATCCACAAGAGATAAAAGACAGACCTGCCTAATACAAATTGTCTATCTTGTTTATGGTTATATTTATAGTGTCTAGCACAGGAGGAATTCAGTAACTGCATAGTAAATTAAAACTAAAACTGAAAACTCAATTAAAGAGACACAAAGGAAAATTCCAATGTGTCAACAGGGCTAGTTGCTATTGTTGCTATTCGATATTTAACTCAAAAAATACTTATTGGGTAGAAGATATTGAGTTAGATACTACAGCTACACAAGATACTAAGAGAAAAAAAGTATTGGGGAAAATTGCTTTCAAATAAGTTAAAGCTTGGTTAAAACTGGAAAGAAAGAGTTTTGAATAAAATAGTTATTTTTTCAATGGAGAAGGAATTGAAAAGAAAATGTAGCAACGAACTGCAGGATAAATACTTCCTTTTTTTTGAGTTGGAGTCTCACTCTGTCACCCAGGCTGGAGTGCAGTGGCCACTCCCGGCCACCACAGCCTTGACCTACTGGGCTCCAGTGATCCTTCCGCCTCAGCCTTCCAAGTAGCTGGAACTACAGGTACACGCTATGATGCCTGGCTAATGTTTGATGTATTGTAGAGATGAGGTCTCACCAAGTTGCCCAGGCAGGTCTCGAACCCTCAGACTCAGGCAATCCACTCACCTCAGCCTCCCAAAGCACTGGGATTACAGGCTGAACCACCGAGCCTGGCTATATTTCCCCTTTTTAATGGCTGGGAAATAGAAAGGAGGAGCATCCTGTTTATGGTTATGTGTAAGTATAGTAAAAAATAGACATTTTCAAATAAAAAACCCATTAACATTAACAAACTATGAATGGAAAAATTATGTATTTGAAGTCATAGTATATATAAATTTTATGTATTGCTTTTATGTACTCCTAGCATAAGTATCTTCATGTGTTTACATAATTTTTAAAATTAATGTCCAGGAGAAAGCAAGAGAAGGTAAGGAGGAGAGAAAGGAGAATTATATGGCACCAGGGACTTTCAGTGAATGGGAGAAAATGTGCTGATGGATTATGGGTGCTCAGTTTGGTGGGGAGAATTGTGAATGTAAGAAGATTGTTGTGAAAGAGATAATCAATAGTTTGAGGCGATTATAGCATTTGAAAGATATACATTGAGCAAAAAAAATGCAGAAAGTTGCTTCCCAACCCAAACGAATCAGCGATGAATGTGATTTATACACGAGTCCTTCAAGTTTGTAATATCATTTATGGAATATTCGCATATTCAGACAAGTGAGGTGTCTGCAGATGTTCTGTCAACACGCTCTAACTAAAAGCTGTCTTTCCCCTCAAAGACCCACCTTCTAACTTACAAAAGCTGTTTTCTTTTCAGGTTTAACTTTCGGGGATTCTGCTGGATGAAAACCATGATTCACACAATCAAGGAGATTAACGAGAGGGCGGATATTTTGCCCAACATCGCATTGGGCTATCAGATCTTTGATACCTGTTTCACCATCTCCAAATCGGTGGAAGCGGCTTTGGTTTTCCTTACAGGGCAGGAAGAAAACAAGTCCAATTTTAGAAACAGCACTGGAGCCCTTCTGGCAGGGATTGTTGGAGCAGGTGGTTCATCATTATCAGTTGCTGCTTCAAGAATTCTAGGGTTGTATTATTTACCTCAGGTATCTCACATTATTGTGCTGGGTACTAACTTAAAACAAAAACTGTGCTTGTGGAAATTGCAGCAAATAGCAAGGTGCTCAGGTGAGGCTGGGTTGAGTCGCAGAGACAAACAGGGACAGTGGTGATGCAGGTGCCTCTAATAATTATATTCAGTCAGGCCTTAGCAAGTGAGCATCAATGCCTACTTAGAGGCAATTTGAGATCTTCTATTTCCCTTGACATTTCCTGTTTTCTTAACTGTAGAGTGGTGGAGTTGAGGGTAAGCTACAGCAGAAAGGCATGTAAGACAGTGAGGAATTCATGGCCACCTGACCCCCTGATGGAAAATATGTACAGAGATCACTGGCCAAATGAGTAAAAAAAGCAATCTGTATATTCACATCTCAATCAGCTTAATACCCTGTAGCAATGTTGAAACACAGTGTAGGTGATTGATAAACACGTGTTGGTTGATCAACGGATAGTATAAGGAACTCATTTTGTTTCTTGCCTATATTAATGCTTATTATCTATGATCCTTTTGGTTCATACAGTAACATACTGAAATGGGTCTGGATTTATATAAGATAGCTAGAGTTTGTGGGATGCTAACTTTACAGATTATTTTAACATAAATAATATTAATATTATTATAATTTAATTATTTTAATTCAGAATGGAGACATATTTCAACATAAGAAGAGATGATAGTAAAAATAGATGACTAAGAAAATATAAATAAAGCTCTATACTTATTTCTAAGGATGAGTCATTCAAGTAGCAATTGTCAGGACTTTTTAATGTGAATGATGATTAAGCTTATTTGTGTTATTGAAGTAATGGGAGAATTTGAAATAATTGTAAAAAAGTAGCATTTACATAGGATATTTCTTGTAAATCTGCAAATATAAATGTAAAAGAAACAGGTAACTATCGAGAAACAGAACCAAGAGGAGGGAATGGTTGACAGAGCTGACACCTTAAATGTGGGCTTCAGGAAGTTCAGACTGCTGCTACTATGAACTCCATCTTCCACCAAATACTGACTGTGGTCCAGGCACCAGGTAGAAACTTCTAGATAGGTTTTCTCCTCGAAATCCATGTGGTAAATCTGCAAAAAGGTAAAAGAAATCTATGTGATAGACGCTTTCACATTTGCTATTTAATGTATTGAGCAACCTTGACTTCACTCCTGGGGAAACTGAGGTTCAGAAGGTTTAGGTAACTTGTCTAAGACCTTACACTGATAAATAGTGTGACCAGAATGAGGAATCAGGTATCTCTTCTCCTTAAACAAGACTCTTTCAGCGAATGGAATAAGAATAGGACATAGGGTAGAGGAAAGAGGAATATTCTGGGACTCGTGAAGGAATTGACAGACATGGAGCTATGAAACTGTAGTATAGAAAGTCCTATTGGAGGTGATGAACCAATAACATGACCTGGGAAAGGGATGGACTGGGGAGAATGTGACATATATTCTTGACTGTAGTGTGGTGTGGTTGAGGGTAAGCTACAGCAGAAATGCATGTAAGATGGTGAGGAGTTCATAACCATCTGACCCACTGATGGAAAATACATACAGAGATCACTGGCCAAATGAGTAAAAAGGTATCTTTTCATTTACTTAGACAAATGTCTATAAAATGAGGGTTTCTAACTTTGTTGGAAAACATGACTTAGACCTGAAGTTTCCATCACCTTTCTCAAGTTAAGTCTTGGGATCTACATAGTCAAAAGAAGTCCTGGCTCAGAAAAACAAGAGAAGAGATGGTGAGAGGGGGTGAGGAGACAGAGACAGAGACAAAGAGACAGGGAGAGAGAAAGGAAGAGGGAAGAGAGAGAGAGTGGGTGAGGGAGAGAGAGGAAGGGGGGGGGAGAGAGAGAAAACTGGACTTGAGGAACAAATTGTGAATCCACTCCATCCTTCGTCTCTGGAGTGCGTGGTAAAAAGGGCAAATGGTCTCCCTTTCACTGCTGTGACCTCACTTGCACCTATAAAAAGTAGTGAATTAAATGTCCTCATTTTAATAATTAGCTCCTCCAACTCCCTTGGATGGAGGTGGGGGGTGGGTGGTGAGAAAATGGTCCCTAGGAGGGCCCAACAGTCCCCATCCATGGGGTAGGGAGAGGAGCAGAAGTCCTTTTGTCCAGGGAAGGATGTGATAAACAAGGGAGAAGAACTGTTAAGTTCCCTCTTGCTCCAATAAAAACTGTGTGAAATTGTGTAATTTGAGATTTGGCTATTGCTTTCTAATAACTGCATGAATATTTTCAATTGTAGGTGGGCTATGCCTCTACCTGCTCAATTCTTAGTGACAAATACCAGTTTCCATCTTATCTTCGTACAATAACCAGTGATAGGATCCAGTCAAAGGCCATGGTAGACCTCATCCAACACTTTGGTTGGGTTTGGGTAGGCACCATAGCAGCTGATGATGACCATGGAAAATATGGAGTAAAAATTTTTAAAGAAAACACAGAGTATACCAACCTCTGTATTGCATTCTCCGAAATCATTCCCAAAGTCTATTCCAATGAGAAAATGCAGAGTGTTGATGTCGTAAAGACCTCCACTGCCAGGGTCATTGTTGTTTATGCATCTGACATTGACCTCAGTCCTTTTGTACTGGAGATGGTTTGCCATAACATAACAGACAGAACATGGATAGCGAGCAAAGCGTGGATTACGTCAACTCTCATTGCAAAGCCTGAATATTTTCCATATTTTGGTGGAAGTATTGGATTTGCAATACCAAGAGCTGATATACCAGGATTAAAAGAGTTTCTTTATGACACACATCCCAGCAAAGATCCAAATGATGTACTGACCATCGAATTCTGGCAAACCGCATTTAACTGTACTTGGCCCTATAGTAGTGTTCCATACAACATTGACCATAGAGTGAACATGACTGGTCAAGAAGACAGATTACATGCCATGTCTGATAAATTCTGCACTGGAGAGGAGAATTTGGAAGACCTTAAAAATACCTACCTGGATGTGTCTCAGCTAAGAAATACAAACAATGTCAAACAAGCTGTGTATTCAATGGCATATGCTCTGGATCATCTAAGTAGATGTAAAGAAGGTCATGGGCCATATATTCCAGGAAACACCTGTGCATATATACCTGACTTTGAGCCTTGGCAGGTAAGTTGTTTTTGTTGTACTTCATGGTCCAGCTTTACAATTGTAAGAACTCATGTTATTAAAACTATTTACTTGCCTTTTTTCTTCATAGCCATTTTATCATGTGCCCACCTAAAATAATGGCTTGGGGCTGGGTGCAGTGGCTCACGCCTGTAATCCCAGCACTCTGGGAGGCCAAGGCGAGAGGATTGCCTGAGCTGAGTTCAAGACTAGCCTGGACAACTTGATGAGACCTTGTCTCTACAATAAATCAAAAAATTATCTAAATGTGGTCGTGTGCACCTGTAGTCCCAGCTACTTGGAAGGCTGAGGTGGAAGGAGTGCCTGAGCCCAGGAGATCAAGGCTATGGTAACCATCATTGTGCCACTGTCAGACTCTGACTAAAACAAACAAAATAAGTTGGGGGAGGGGGTTTGCTTGCTTGGCAATTGGACATTTTAAAGTTCTCATTAATTAACAGAGCTATTTTAGGTTTGTTGTGAATGATAGAAGACTCCCCAAAACAGTGCCTTAAACAAGATAGATTTTTTTCTTCACATAAATGAAGTTTAGAGATAAATATCCCAGGACTGAAAGAATGGCTTGGGAACCCACTTCCTGTAGTGCTGTTTTACCATCCACAATATGGGTTTCACCTCATAATATAAGATGGCTGCTTGGGGTTCCAACATCATGTTCATATTCTAACCAGCAGGAGGGAGAAAGGGCAAAAATGTGTACACCCCTCCACTTAAGGATAATTTCTGAAAATTACATACATTTCTAATATCTCATTATCTAGAACTTAGTCATACGGTCGCATCTAGCTGCAAAGAAACCTGAAACATGTAGTCTTCATGCAGTGTGAGAAGGGCCACATAAGAGCATGAATAGCAGGAAGCGAAAATTATTGGAGGCCATCTTGGAGATTGGCTCCCAAATCTCCTGTCTCAGATCTGGTCCCTGCAACTCAACTTGGGACATAGTAGCCTAACAGAATGCTCCTCTTCTTAATCCTTCAGTATCTCCCCTCTTACATATAAAGGGTGAAACACAAGTATGGCTGGTCTGGAACCATCAGCCCTTCGTGATATAAACTGTCAGCATCTCTGATTTTATCACTCTTGTCACTAGTCTCGCCATTTACTATCTCCAACACTAAATTGTCATGTCCAACAGAGTCCACAGTGGCCGAACCCATTGTATCTTCATTTATGCTTTTATTTTTAAATCGATTACACATTGCATTTAATTTTATGTCTCCTTAGTTTCCTCCAGCTTGTGACAGCTCTTCTATCTTTCCTTGTTTTTCATGACCTTGCTATTTTTGATAAGCTCAGGTCAGTTAGTTTTAAAATATTTTTCAGTTTGGGTTTGTCTAATTTTTTTCTAATGATTTGAGTGAGGTTACGAATTTTTGGCAAAAATATCGTAGAAACGATGTGCCTTATATCAGGAGGTACATGATATAATTATGACTTGTTGTTGGTGATATTAACTTCAGTCACTTAATTACAGTGATGTCATCCTGTTTTCCTACAGTGAAGTTGCTATGTTTTCCTTTATAATTAATAATTATCCTGTGAAGCAATGTTTTGGGGTCCTGAAAATGTTCTGTTTCTCATCTTTTTTTTTGAGTAGGATTCTCACTCTTTTACTCAGGCTGGAACGCAGTGGTACGATCACAGATCACCACAGTTTCAACCTCCTGGGCTCAAGGGATCCTCTCGCCTAGGCCTCTGGAGTAACTGGGACTACAGGCATATGCCACCATACCCAACTAATTAAAAAAAGTTTTTTTGCAGAGATGACGTCTTGTTATGTTGTCCAGGCTGGTCTCAAACTCCTTGGCTCAAGTAATTCTCCCACTTCGGCCCAAATCCAAAGTGTTGGGAGTACAAATGTGTACCACTGTACCCAGCCCTCATCATACTTTTGACCACAAATTTTTAGCATCCACTGATGATTCTTCTTGCTTGAACCAACTATTACTGTATTGTTTAAAAAATGATGATTTTTCTATTTTCGCATTTCTTCTACATTTATTAGCTGTAATTCTACTTCTCCATTGATTTATTTGTATCAATATGGACTCATGGGTGTTTATTTCTATTTTATGAGTAATGATTCATAACTATCTTTATTTTGTTGCTCAAATTGCCCATATTTGACTGTAGGGAGCCACTTTAAGTTGGCTCCTGTTTCTTTTGACACATTCTTATTTCCAAGAACTTCCTTACTTTCTAGAACCGCAAGATGTTCCAAGCTCATCATGTACTTTCTCTGCCTCAGACCTGTAGTCAGCCATTTCTACAATGAGTCCTGTTTCCATTTGCTGAAAAATGAAATTTGAAAACCAAGATCTGAGTGTTAGGTATGCTTGCTGGTGCTGAGGATGTTGTGATAAACACAAAATGAAAAATAAAATTATGTTTTAAATACTATAGAAGAGTTCTTTTTTTAAAATTTATTTTTCATTTAAATTAAAAGAACTCCTTTCTTTTATCTCTCCTTTAAATTGAATGAATGAACCTTTAAAAAATTATTTTAGATTTGGGAGTACTTGTGCAGGTGTGTTACATGAGTATATTGCATAATGCTGGGGTTTGGGCTTCTATTGAATTCATCATCCAAACAATGAACATATAACCCAATAGATAGTTTTTCAACCCTTGCTCCTCTCTCACTCCCCACTTTGAGTTCCCCATGTCTATTGTTTCCATCTTTGTGTCTATGTGCATCTACTGTTTAGCTCTCACTTATAAGTGAGAACATGAAGTATTTGGTTTTCTGTTTTTGTGTTAATTCACTTAGGATAATGGTCTCCAGCTTCATCCGTGTTGCTGAAAAGGACATGATTTCATTCTTTTTGATGGTTGCATAGTATTCCATGGTATACATGTACCTCATTTTCTGGTATATCAATCCACCTATTGATGGGCACTAACGTGGAGTCTGTGTCTTTGTTTGTGAACAGTACTGCGATAAACATATGAGTGCAGCACTTTTTGGTAAAACCATTCCCTTTTTTTTTGAGTAGGAGTCTCACTCTGTCGCCCAGACTGGAGTGCAGTGGCTGCTCCCGGCCACTGCAGCCTCGACCTGCTGGGCTCTGGTGATCCTTCTGCCTCAGCCTTCCAAGTAGCTGGAACTACAGGCGCGCGCTACCACTCCCGGCTCGTTTTTGATTTATTGTAGAGATGAGGTCTCGCCAAGTTGCCCAGGTGGGCCTCGAACCCGTGGGCTCAGGCAATCCACTCACCTCAGATTCCCAGAGGCGCAGGATAAAACCATTTCTTTTTCCTTTGAGGTGTGTACCCAGTAGTGGGATTGCTGGGTCAATTTTTTTTAGTCTTTCTTTCAAGGTGCCCAAACCCTTTTCTCTCTCACTCTCTTTCTCTAATAAACTCTGTTTTAAACTTTTGTTGGCCCCCCTGAAATACTTTTGAGAGACCCAAGAGATTAAAAAAAAAAAAACACTCTAAGAGAACTATTACTATATGAATTCCTACCCCACGTTCACTGTATTTGTTTGTAGTGTTTGTACTTAGAATTTTGTTAAGTTTAATTTTTGTTTGTCTCATAAAATAACCGATTGCTTCCGCCACTGCTGCTAGCAGTATGTGAATATCAAGTAATAAACCCCTCCCGGACATTCCTTTGCTTAGCCTGCCTGCTGACATTCCACTCTGCTCATTTAGCAGCTCCCCCGTCAATCACAGGTAGCTGAACGGACCAGACCAATCCCAAGTGCCCCCGTACCCATTAGGAGAAATTACCCTATCATGTAAAAACAAGTTTAAAGTTCTTTCCCCTCCCTCTGTAATGATATATTATAAAAACTGCTTGCCATGCTGGATCGGGGCTCTCGTCCCTGAAGTTGCTGCTTCGGGCGTGAGCCCAGACTCGAGCCTGAGTAAAGACCCTTGTGTGTTTGCATCAGAGCTGGCTCTTTGTTGGTCTCTCGGATTCTGAAATTTGGGTTTAACATTGGGAGGCCCCACCGAGATTTTTTTATTCCAGAGACCTTCAACCCCAGCCTGTAGGGTCTCCATATGGGGGAGTGCACTGTATTGTCTGTCTGCTTAATTGTTACTCATTGTTAGTGCACTTCTTGTAAGATATCAATATCTATTTTATAAGGCCAGAATAAGGTTAAGCGGACGCGCTATCTAGGACCGCTGGCCAGAGATCTTGGGAGACGTCTCTTGATCTCAGAGGGAGCCTAGGCGCTGGAAAGCGCAGGCATAGAGGGGGTCCAGGCGCGAGAGGCGTGGACTCAGTAGCTCTCGCACGCAGTGGCGGTCTGAGAGAGGGGGTTGTCTGGTATGCCCCCATTCGGAGGATAGCGCTGTCCTCATATCTGAAGGTAGCCCAGCACCAAGAGGTGTGGGCTTGCCTTCAGATCGGTTTTGTCCTTGTCTCTACGGCTGTAGGAAAGTATATTTTTGTGTTGGTTGCGTTTTTTAAATTTTATCTCTGTTTATATGTGTGTTACTGTGGACGGAAAACATGGGACAGAGACTGACTCTAACTCTTGGCTGATTATTTCTCGGACGTAAAGTAAAGCTGATAATCTGAATGAAATCATTTGCAAAAAAAAAAAAAGAGGCCATCCTTCAATGTAAAATGGCCACCTGAGAGCACTTTCTCACTAAGTTTTGCTTTGCAGGTTAAGCATATTATCTTCCTGATTTCTGTTATAGCCGCCCAAATCAGGTACGTAACTGATAACCCCCCCCCACCCCACAGCCCCCCCACCACCGTGGGCAAAATCTTTTCTTCCACCCAAACAGACGCTCAGAGTCCTGGCCTCACAGGAAACAAAGCCCGGCCTGGTCGGCCGAGGCGCAGCGTGGCAACCCTTGCCCCACCTCCCCTCCCCCCTGTGAGCGGGGCGGAGCCTGCGAGCCATAGTCTGCTCTCAGCAGAGAGAAAACTGAGAACAAAGAGGATTAATGAGCATGAGCAAATAATAAAAAAAAAACTTTCAAGGTGAGTATAAAAGCTTACAAATTCT